ATGTGGTACCACCTTTTGTGGGAATAATCTTGCACGAATATTTCAAGGGCTCCTCATGCACTCGGGATTAATATCATCCGAATAGATGCACTGTACTTGAGACTCGTTCACCACTTTTGGAAATCTTGCCCCTTACAGTTGGGCAAAAATACTTACCACTACTTCGGTTCTTCTAGTTCCTGTCTAGGTATCCTGTGAATGTCCCTGAGTGCTACTGGGTGCCCGTACCAAACGAAAGTGCTTGGGGTGTCTGGAGTCCTAGTTTCTTGAAGGGGAGGGGGAGGTGTTGTAGTGGGAGTCGACAGATGTTTCCTTGTATATCGGCAAATTATGGCTAGATTCGTATGAAGGGAAATCCGTGAGCGCTATTCGGCTCAGAGGGGGGGGGGAGGGGTAGTTTGCGGTTTCGTCTCTTTCCCTGGCCAGTTCACAAGTCTCTCTTTGGTGAAACTTGTGAAGTCTTGTGAAACTGCAAAATGGTACAGGTGTGCCAATTTGGTTACAAAAATTTACAGTTCTTTACATGGTAATCTTAACTGACTTCGCTGAATACCATTAGTTGCCAATACCAAACCAAACTGCGCCAAACCGTGACTTTCCAAATGGTCTACGCCTAATAAGAGAATGCCTGCACTGATATTCAAATTACCCTGCTGAATGAAAATCGCATACAAAACGAGTTTCTAGTGCCCAAGGCATTATACTTTAATCTTTTTAGCAACTGGTTAAATATTTGGGATGCCTTCTTTTTCATTGTTATCACCCTGAACTTTGTGCACAGAATCTTGCCTTATTGCTTCTTTTGTGGTCATGCGTGTGCCTGCCTAGGTTTTTTGATCTTTCACTGAGGAACCTTGAGAAGGACTTTTTGTGTTCCCTTATCTGCTCATGTCTAGCCGGGTATTGAATTTCACCCTAAATGAGTCATGGTTGTTTGGCCTGAGTCTAATGGGCGTACCCTACTTGGATCTGAGTAAAGGAATCATACCTTACTCGTAGATTTCAGTGCAATCTATTTTGGCACTGAAACGAGTCGAGCTGGGTTTATTTATCGTAGAACCGTACGATCAGCCATTTTGTTGATCTTACGAGAACATCCTGCTTAGACTTGTTATTCCGTATGCCCGGATCGTTAGTTGTTTCGTAGTTCCGCAGTGCCGGCAACTGGGGTGGGGTGGGGGCAAATGGGACCTCCGTCTCACGCGCCATACACGATCCTTTGATAGGACTCTCCCAACGATGGTGTACCCTGACTTCAAGCCTGCTCTCAAGCTTTTCATTTTCCATTTTCTCTTTTTTCAAGAGTATGACTACGTGAAATTGGAGCATCGCTCGCTGCGCCAGTCGCCTACCTATGAATGACAAGGTCGTCTGATTAATGCTGCGCACTCTTTTGCAAATAACATCGGTTGTTTCATCGATCCTTACATATCTCTAAAGACTAGGCAGTACTCCTCACTCGGCGGGCTCCTACTTCGGTTACGCTCCATGTAGGGGTACATTAAGACATCTTTTATTTCAAACCTCTGTCTAAGCGGTCATTTCGTTTTCCTGTGATTTTTGTGAATGACCTTCTGCCGGCTTACGTTCCAAATTCGGCTGATAATCTACATCATTTCTGATAGTTGGTTTATCACTGACTCGGTCAGGCGACCATTGTGGTCTCCACAAGCAGAACCCTGCATAGCGCAGGGCTTATGACGGGTGCGGATTGGAGCGGAGCCAAGGCGACCACTAATGACACCATACTGAATCCTCAACAATTGGCAGGAGAGATTGCTCTCCAATCCACGCTTCTTTACCCGCCCTATCGGCTGCAGGGATCATGACTGTACAGTGACGCGGAATACCTCTCGGTCCTAACTGTAGCAACAAACGGTTGACGGTTAAGCGGACCCATAAATCTCTCTTCAACCCAGCACAGGTGTGAGCTCTATCAGCGGATGCGTTGAGGCTTTCTGAAGAAATTAATAGCGACATGAATTATCGAAGTTATGGTTTGTTGTCAGCGGAAATGGGCTTCTGTATGTGCTCCTGCTAGAAACCGCTATGAGACTACCGTTTTCTATTGAGAACGGTCTATTTGAAGTCCTATGAGATTTTCGGTCAAATTATCGATTTCTGCTCAGGACAGTCTCATATTTACGATGTCTGTGAATGTACATACAACACCTTCCTCTATAACATAATATGTATTCTCGTTCAGAGTGAAAATCATCGAACGGTAACATCGAACGACGTTTGGCGTTTGGCGTGATGAGCAAGAAAACC